ACGAAACACATGTCGCGACGTCACATGCCACGTCGCAACCCCATCACACTTCTCCACGTCAAGAAGAACAGGCTCATGTAATCGCTAATCCCGTAACGAACAATCAAGTCAAAGATCAACCCCCTGTGCAAGAGATGACTGCTGAAAGTCATTCTGCTCATCGCCAGAGAGTTTCCCCACGTCCTAGACCCATCTCATCAGCACCTCACGCTCGCGAAGATTTACGACGCCAAATTGAACGCAATCGTCTTTCAAGACATAGTGCGGAGGAAATTGAAACCCTCCGTAAACGTTTGGCTGAACTTGAAATGCGACAGAAGTCACAAGAATATTCACCCCGACATGTCGCGACGTCGGGAAATGTTGTTGTCGAGGCGGATTCTCCTTTAGCCCCCGAACTTACTGCGGAGTCGCTCCCTGTCAAAGTGAAAATCCCGCAAATCGGCATGTATGACGGGACGTCGGACCCGGACGCTCATTTAGGTCATTATACATCTTGGATGGATTTACATGGGGCTTCAGATGCTTTGAGGTGTCGGATGTTCTCACTCACACTGGGGCCACGAGCCCAAAAATGGTATTACACTCTCCCACCTCATTCAATCTGGAAATGGCAGCAACTACGTGCGGCTTTCCGGTCACACTTTATCGGTGCTCAAATTTGTCTCATTCTTAAAGAATCAATCACCAACATCGTGCAAAAAGACGATGAGACTGTTAAAGATTACGTGGCTCGCTTCAACGACCGTATTCAGAATATGGAACCCTGTCATCCTGAAACTTTGTTAGTAACTGCTATTGCCGGATTGAGGCCCAATTCAATGTTTCGTTGGACCTTATGTCAAAATAAGCCTGCAACATTTCAAGAGTTTCTTGTACGAGCTCAACAATTCATTATTGCCGAAGAATCCATGTCGGTCCCCAATTTCGACTTCTCGGTAAAAGAAAGCAAGGTTGAACCGGATACCAAGAAGAAGAACAAGAAGAACTTTGGGAAAGCACAATTTCGGAACTCCTCTAAAGGATATGAAAATACTCCAGAGTCCCGGGCTGCTCGTGATCAATATTCGGACAACGTCAGGACAGGTTACCATGCTGTTTATTCTGCTGGAGCGGCCACCATATATGAAGAGCTGAAAGGAAAGGGGATCATTCCAGACCCGAGGCCTGTGAGAACTCCTGAAGATAAGTTGGACAAAACTCGCTACTGTGCGTACCACAAGTCTCCAGGGCATAATACCGACGAGTGTCTCGGTCTTTTATCGGCACTCTTACGTTTAATCGGACAACCCCAACTTCAAAAGTTTCGAAATTTTGATAACCGCCGGAAAGGAAGACCTTTGGATCTTTCAGACGACGAAGATGAAGATAACCGACCTGCTAACCAGAAAAGAGCTCGTGTAAACGATAAGGAAGTTTTTACGTTTTCTACTCATGTCGGAACTTCGGCCGACGACCACCGGAAACTTAAGACACATGATTCTACAGATTTTTCACGATGTATACCTCGGGTCAACTCCAATAACAAACAGTCAGACTCGACGGAAAGTTAAAGCTTATGCTCGGGAGGCTCAGAATGCCGAGAACCGAGTCATGAATGTCGATCTTCGGGATACTATCAATAAACGGAATTGCCCCATTACATTCAGTATTGAAGACGCTAACTTGTTCGCTCATCCTCATTCTGATGCTCTCATTATAACTGCCCCGATTGGGAGAATTCCTGTTCATCGAATCCTGGTCGATACAGGAGCGTATTCAAGTATCTTAATGCTCCGTACTTTCAAGAAATTGGGTTTGGACCCAGCAGACATTAGACCGTGTAACGATCAGATTCAAGGTTTCAATGGAAGCATTTCTTGCCCTGTTGGCGAAATATTGCTCCCCATCCGATTTGGAGGCTTCGGACCGAGGTCCAAGATTATTATGGAAACTTTCAAAGTCTTGGATGTCCAAAATGAATATAATGCTGTAATTGGGCGAACCGCACTTTATAAACTCCGTGCTGCTGTGTTAATTTTTCATTATGCTTTGAAGTTTCCCACCATTGAAGGAGAAGGCACTCATTACGGAGATCAACGAGAAGCCCGAAGTCTGATGCTGCTCTCAACCTCGCCTAACTTTCATATGATTGAAGGACAAGATGTTAATAGCTTTGTTGAGCCAAGTGATTCAATTCCTCGTATTGAACAAATTGATGAGTTCACCTCGGATACCGACATGCCTCAAGTAGAGATCAACTTGCCGCCTGCCGATACCGACATCCCCATGACGTCGGTCTTGCCTGAAACATCAACAGAAATCCTCGATCAAGAACAATCTTCTCATGAAAAAGACATAGAAATACATGAGGATATAGACCCAAGGATGCAGTTCAAAGATGGAAGTCATCATATCCGAGCGGAACCTGTTGAAGATATTGAGATTATGTACGTGGACGGGTTAGAACAACAGAAATCGTTGCGTATTGGGGCCAACCTGCAGGAACCCCTTCGGTCAAATTTGATTCAATTCCTCCAGTCAAACACTGATGTGTTCGCATGGAAGCATGAAGACATGAAAGGGATCGACCCACAGAAGGCATGCCATCGTCTCAATTTGGACAAGACTGTCAAACCGGTTATTCAGAAACATCGGAAATTTGGTCCGGATCGCCAGAAGGCTCTTGAAGAGGAAGTGAATAAGCTCATAGACAATAAATTTGTCAAGGAAGCCAAGTATCCGACGTGGATATCGAATCCTGTTTTAGTTAAGAAAGCCACCGGTCTTTGGCGTCTTTGTATAGATTTCTCAGACTTGAACCAAGCGTGCCCGAAAGATAGCTACCCTATCCCGCACATTGATTATATGGTAGACGCTACGTCGGGACACCAACTTATGAGTTTTCTGGATGCCTATTCAGGCTATAATCAGATTCCCATGCACCCTGATGACGCTGAGCATACCTCGTTCTATTCAGCTCGAGACCTTTATTGCTATGTTATGATGACTTTCAGATTAAAGAATGCAGGGGCCACATATCAAAGATTGGTCAATAAAATGTTTGCTCGCTTAATTGGCCATACAATGGAAGTTTATGTAGACGACATGTTAGTGAAGTCGGAACAGGCCCCCGACCATATTGCTCATCTCTCCGAAGTCTTCGATATACTCCGAGAATATTCCATGGTGCTTAACCCCAAAAAATGTACTTTCGGAGTTGGATCAGGGAAGTTTCTGGGATACATGGTGAGCCAAAGAGGGATCGAAGCCAATCCCGCCAAGATTCAAGCCATACTTGACCTAGCTCCCCCGACGTCTCTCAAAGGCGTCCAAGCCTTAACTGGTCGACTGGCAGCCCTTAATCGGTTCATTTCGAAATCTACGGATCATTGTAAACCGTTCTTTGACGCTATCAAAAAGAAGAAATCGTTTGAATGGACCGTGGAATGCCAGAATGCTTTTGACAACATTAAACAAGTTCTCTTGCAGTTACCAACGTTACAAAAGCCACTTCCCGATGAGCCTCTCTATTTGTATCTTGGTGTAAGTAGCGTTGCTGTTAGTGCTGTCCTTATCCGTCAAGACGGGCTTCAGCAGTTTCCAGTGTATTATGTTAGCAAGGCCTTACACGACGCTGAATTACGATATCCGCATATGGAGAAGCTAGCCTATGCTCTGATCATTGCT